TTTGATTTGAAGATTTAAAATCAAATAATCAAATCAAATTCAAATTCAGATTTTTTAAATCAAATCAAATTCAAATCTAGATTTTTAAATCAAATCAAATTCAAATAAACCTAATATTTGATTTAATTTGATTTTGAAGAATTCTAGTGTGAAGTTTTAGCTAAGTGTGTAAAACAGTTTAGGGAGATTGGAATGATTATGTATTTGCAGTACTTTTGCTTACAGAACCAATCAATATTCTACTACCCATTATAAACCTTATTCTTGTATATAGCCGAGATTCTTTGTTATTCATAAAAACTGTAATCTCAACTTATTTATTTGACCCAACTACTAAAAAAAGTTACAAAACCAATTGTTGTGATGAATAAAAAGTTTGTTGGAAAAGTTAACTGAATCACACCTTCAAGTTAAAGATACTATTATGAAAGCTTAAGACAAACAAAAAGCATATCATGATCAACACTATCAGATAAAAAGCTATTTGATTAGTAATAAGGTGTTATTAGAACAATTCTCTTTGGTTATATCTTATAATACAAAATTAAAGCCAAAATTTATAGGTCATATTATATTCACGATGTTTGTAGCAATGGTACATATAAACTACGAGCTATAAGTGGAATAAAAAGGGCCAGCTTAGTAAAACAAAGAAAGTTCTTAAGAAAGCAATACACAGAAACTGATTAAAGTGATATGTAAAGCCCTCTGTAGAATAAAGCTCTCAAACTTATAAATATAGTCTGAATTAATATTTATTTCCTTAAGCATGAAACTTTTTCAAGTAACTATACCTATTTTAAAACTTCTTCTTCATCTACAGAAGTATATTAAAGGATCTTCTGTAGAATCTCTTTGTATTACCAATAGTACTATTAAATTTTTGATAAGCAAGAAAATCAGGTTTATATTAATTTAGTACCAAAAATTAATGAGGATTTATTGGACAATCGTATACCTCTTTTTATTGAGAACCTTTATCAAATAGGTGATTCTACAAGAGAACTCTGTAAGGTTGATAGTTAACAGATAAATTATCTTTGTATTCAGATCTAACTTTGTTGGCTAGATCATGCTACCCTGCTTTAGCATTATTATCAGCTAGGTGAAAGATTAGCAATGCATAATTGGGATGAAGAAGTTAAAGGGGAAATGAAGGACTGATTTACATATTGAAGTTATAAGAATGCATTGAGGATTACTCATCATGTTTATAGTCTTTATTACATATGCAGTACCCATAATCTGCTGACTACTTGCTATCTATCCACTAATGTTTTGTTAAAAATGAATACTGAAAGTTTTAATATATTACTAGAAGAAGCGTAGTTGGGGAGTCAAAAAGAGATTGAGCAATTGCTAGCACTTGATTAGGTATGCAGATACTCATACCTAACAAGGGGGTATGTCCCGATTTTTCTTAGAAAAATCATGACTTGTAGTAATGAAAATGTGTATACTGTAGGGCTGGGTTGTGGTGAAGGCTTAGAAGTTTATATCTGTACAAATAATTATTTTATTTGACATATTTATTTATTTTATATCTATAGATTCTCTTTTATTTGTTTGTTATTGTAAGGCCTAGAGATTGAGTCTGGAAAAGCTTAGAAGTATAATGGTAAAATCGGCTTAGAAAGTATAGGTCTGGTCGGGCTAAGGTTTGATGAGTTAACAACATTAGAACAACAAAGTATAGATCCAGACTTAAAAATAGGGAACCATTTTGTCCTTGTAGTAAGCCTTCATGTACTTCAAAAGTATAAAAGAACTGTCTTTTCGCATTTCTAATAAAACTTAGACTTCAATGTCTTTAATATAGGAATATTAAGAATTGATTTCTCACTTGTTAAAAGTTTGTTGTCATATTGTTGTATTTATTGTTATTTCCCTTATTTTAACCTGAAGGCTCTTCACAATCATATTATACATTTTATTTTCTACTAAGTATATTACATACGTCATCTACCTTGAGGACATTGATGTCCGTGAAACACGCCATCTATTTTTTTATAAACTGTTTTAAACTTTTAAATTAATTACCTGATTGATTACCGGTAGATATAATTAATATCAAGTGCCCGATCTCCGATTAATTACGTAATCTCACATGCACAAGCGATTATTATAAACGATTATATTATTATCTGATTATTATTAGTTCTCACAAAGAACATATAAAGTTCACTATTGGAGTTAAATTGTGCCGATAGTTCTAAAAGCTCTCCCAAACAATAGTAACAGTACCGAGCATAGCGGGCTTTAATTCTGATTGGTCAATCCCTGAATGTATCGTTACATACACACCGCATATATCACTTGACTTTAAACGAATTATTTGCCATGAAAACGAATTGTTAAAGCATGCAATATAGATATTCTGAAACTTCACATTCTGTTTTATAATATTTCAAAATTAATCTGGTGAAAGGTTAATTAATCTGGTGAAAGGTTAATTAATCCAGAAGTTAGCGACGGGGTACACTTTTTGTCTTATAGGTTAGAGTAATTTAGTGTAAATTGTACCTTTGCTAATAAGTGTTGTTACGTTTTTTTTCAGGCTTGTTAATTTAAAAATAGTGGGTTATTTTAATAGCTATATTAAATATAGAATATATATAGAACATGTACGATTACACGCTATGTTTTGTAGTTAGTGTTTACTTTTTTATATTGTCTATGCCTCCATGAGTGTGCTTTACACTTATTGATAGTTGGCGATTCGTTTTAATTCTTTTTATTATTTATTATTTATGCTGTTATTTAAACTTAGCAAGCGATTTGGTTAATAAAAGTTATTAGTATATATCTTTAATGCTTAAAGATATTATTCTTTTTATTAAGTTTGGCCAAATACGCATCTGATAATGACCAAATGTTAAGAATTATTACAAATTAAAATTATATTTTAAATATATTTTTTGTTTAATAATTTTCTAAAATTTTTTTGCTTCGAATTTATTTTCTATTAGCCAATCAGATTTTGAATGTCACAAAATGATCTACAAAAACTAGCCAATCAGAATGAAAGCCCGCTATGCGGATCCAAACTTATTAATCACATGATTAGAAGAATTTTCGAGGTTCTTTTGGAGTTGATACCTCAAGAATGGTTGATTCGTTTTTAATAATCTTGGGTTAAATGAATGCTAACACTCATAGTATTTATTTAAACCAAATCATCAAAATTAGATCACATTCCCGCCTTATACTGAGAAAACAATTGCTTATCTCCGAATCTAATTTTGATGTTCGGCATCATTTGACAGTTTAATGGCTATATGTCGAGAATTTCTGATCCATTTTCAATCATTTTAGATTTAAGCGAATCCTACCGTTTCTAACGTTCGTTTATAATCGAAATTTGATCAGCCATTCACGAGTTATAAACAACGTGAATAATTAGTGAACAATTATTTCCGGTGTCCACTATATAGGCCTTCGAAAGTATTGTTAGCTATAGGCAGTGTTTAAAATTCGATGTTTTCAGTGTTCTCTGAGAACATGTAAAAATGGTTATGAACATAAATTATTTGAAAATGTTCTCTATTTGAGAACATTTAACAATTTTTTTTTATATTAAAAAATTTTAAATTTCTAATTTGAGAACATCAAAAATTTTTGAAAACATTAAGAATTCAAAAATTGTTTTTTTGAGAAAATTAAATTAGAATTTTAAACACTGGCTATAGGATGGAGTTCTCTTGTTATTGGCTATTGAGAATCCTAAAGTATAGAAGTAATTTGGAAATGTGAGATTGAGTTGAAAAGATAATTTGCAAACACTTCATATCCTTGAGAACCGAATTCTTCGTATCTTGTAATATCAAACTTTTTTATTATCCCATCTACAACGAGATATTTTTTTAATAGGTCAATAAAATGGGTCAGGTGGATCAAGAACAATGTTTTTGCTTAAAAATTTTTGTAAGGTTGAAAATATTTATTAATTAAAAAACATAGTTTTAAACAATATACATTTTAATATGAGTTAGTATTTAATAGCAATTTTAAAATCAAAATTCTCGTTAATCAAAAAAAAAATCAATAAACATATCAATAATTATTTTATCTTGTAGATCTACCATATAATCAAAATACTTTAAACAATACAGCAATATATTAAAAACGTGTCTATATCATATCTCGCAGATCACCTGATTTGAAATTCTAATTTGTTAGATCATCCATATAGTAACAAATAACAATTAAGAAAAATAATTTGCATTATTAACAACCAATCAAAATCTGTAAGCCTTCGGACAATTATTCAAATTTGAATGAGATCAGCTGAATTGCATTATTAAAAATTTCCCGTTCCTATCTATAATAGATATATTAATTGTATCATCATTACGGCGTATTTGTAAGATACCCCAAAATTTAAAAAATCTTGGCTTCTAAAAAAGTAGTTATATATGCATGCTGCTGTATTGTTAAAGTATAAAAAGCTAGTATTGGCTATTTAGATAGGTGTATCGATATTACGCGAATTTTTATGTTTAATAAGTTGCATCACTGTGTGTCGGGGGACAGAAAGGAATTGGTTAAATGGTGAGAAAATGAGTTAGGAGTAATTTTGTTAAGATTAGAAGCAAAAAAATTTTTTAGGGTTTATTAATTCTAAACTATCAATTATCAATCTTGTGACCGTATACTTGAATTTGGTGTTCAATATGTTAATTCAGTGACCAATAATGATGGTTGAATTGATTAGATATGATTACTTAATGTAATATTATACAATAAATAATAATAATTTAAAGTTTAGAATTCAATATGCGTGGCGAAAATTTATGTAATCCTAAACTTAATTACATAATTACTGGATAATTTTACTTATGTAAAAAGAAATTTACCAATGCGAAAATATGATTGATTAATATTTGTTAGCGAAACTCTTGAGTAATTAATGTTAATCCTAACCTTATTATAATTGTCTATCAATAGTAACCAAATATTAGCAATGTATTAACCATTTTTAACAATGGACCGAAGCATCTAGTAGAGATTAAATGCCTTGAGTTCAAACCTTGAAATTTTCCGATTAAAGTATAAATTCAGGGTTTATGCAACATATTTTTTTAAATTTACAAATCATTACTCTACATCTGTCTTTAATTATCTTTAATTTCACCATGAGTTCTGAATCAAATATTACGGACGTCAGAGACCTTCCTGATTTTATGATTATTGCACCATCTGGATTAATTTCCGGTTTTATAAATTGCATTTGCTTGATTTACCTTATTGTCAGGTTGTTGATACGATGGTGGGTAACTAAGAGATCCTTACCAATGGTTCATAGGGTGCCATTTTATATAACATTGAGTGGTACGTTGATAATTCTACATTTAAATGTTCTAAATATACTCGTGTAGTTTAGGCTAATTTTTTTTCATTACCAAAATCAATTAGAATTTTTTTTATTTTGCATCAATCTAGTGAATATGGTATGTATTATTTTATACATAAAAATCCTATATGTTTAATCTAGTATTAATCTACTTTTGGTACATAAGGGATACACAACTCTTAATGGTCATCCAATTCAAGGAGATGTATGTAAAGCAGTTGGCGGAATAGCATTTTTCATTGTCTCATCTAATGTGACCTTAGTTGGATCATTGTCTTTAATGACTTACTTGCGAGTATGTAGAAAATATACCATTGAGATGGGAATATATGATTATAAACTCTTTTCGGGTATTTTCTTAATATCTTTAATATTAACCTTGATTGGAGTTAATGATTACGGGCAGAGTAAATTTTGGTACGTCTTGTTTATATTTGTATTAAATTTGTAATCTTGTGAGAACGTCAATACTTATATATTATTTAATAGGTGTTATAATGCTCCATCTAATCCAATAACGCCATTAATAACAGTTTTATTGATTTTTTTAATATTATTCATTACGTTATTTTGTTATATTATGACCTTACTGGAAGTGAATGTTCAACAAAATAATATTAAAAAATTTGGCTCCAATAATGCTAAATTTAGCCGACTTGATCTTATTATTGTGAGGAGAATCATCGCTTATATTCTAATATTCCTCTTAGAATGGACTCCTAATGTGGTTT